ACTCTGGCTGCCCCTTGTTGGAGGAGCTGCACTACACTGGGGAGAATCCCACTCATCTGTACTGCCCAGATTCCTCAGAGCCAGCAGGCGGAAATACGAAATCTGCTGATCCATGGAGACCATGGCTGCCCCTCCCCGCAAGGCTCAGTCCCAGGGAGGTCAGAGTTCTATCCCTAAACCCCTGGCTGGAGCTGCTAAAATTCTGCAGGGAGGCCCCACTCCGTAAGGAGGGATGGATCAGAGTCTGGCCTAAAGAGGCAGTCTGGCCACAATCTGCCACAGCTGTTGTGCTGCATTGTGGGAAATTCCTCCTGGGTCCAAACTACCCCATCTCCCAGCACCAGCAGGGGAAAATGGCAGACTGGAGCTGCAGTGATGGCTGTCACCCCTCCTCTGAGGGAGCTCAGTCATCTTCAGTAGCAGGCAGCTGCCGTGATAATGGCCACCCCTTCACCAGGACACTTGGTCGTTTCTAGCAGTCTCCAGCTGAGTGGCCTCTGAGAATCTGCACAGCTCTGTGTTTGGAACCCAAGGCCCCAGTGATGTGGGCTCACAGGAGGGATCTCCTGGTCCACAGGTTATACAGATCTGTGGAAAAAGTGTGGTTTCCCTGGCAGGGTATCATGATCACTAACCGTCTCCCTTGGCCGTGGGTGGAAGATCCCCTTGCCCCATGTGGCTCCCAGGTGAGCCGTTGCACCACCTTGCTTTTTCTCACTCTCCATGGGCCATGCCAACTACCTAGTCAGTCCGAGTGAGAGAGCCTGGATACCTCAGTTGCTGGTGCAGGATTCACTTGCTGTTTTCATTCTTCCTGGGAGCCTCCAACTGCAGCTGTTTCTAGTCAGCCATCTTGGCCCCTCCCACTGTATTCTGATTCTTAAGAATTAAGCCTGGATCACAACCTAGAGTCACAATTTGCCATAATTTGTCACAATTTGACAGCCTCTCTATCCCTTCACCACTTATTTTGCCAAAGCGACTTGTCATTCCAGGGTGCCTTCTACTGGGTTTGTTCATGTTCATCCATCTGCCTATTTTTGGTGGTGAAGAGGCATATGAAATCACTCCAGCAGGTGACTGCCATGCATGAGTGAAATGCAGCTGAGGATTACCCATGGATGTGCATGGGAGAGTGAGAATACATCATGAATCTTCAAGATGAATGGTAAAAACATGCACCTAGAACAGAGTGTTGCAGCAGGGAGTATGTTAAACCCAAAACCAAGGGTGTATGGTTCAAAACTAAACCCTGCTAGGTCTGGGTCTCTATCACTCCACTCCTGTGTTTGACACCGCAAAAGTCAATTTAGTATCCCCCTTTCACTGAGCCACCTCAGGAGGACACAGAGTAAGATGTTAACCTCCACCGTAATGGTTCTCAAAGAGCGTAGTGGCGTTTCCTGAGTTAGGAAAAGTAGGGGAGTGATATTTTGCCCCAGACAGATGGAGTTTCTTACACACACACTCCTCTCCTGTTCTCTGCAGTGTGAAAGCCTCAGCCTGTGGGAGGGATTGTGAAATGAAGTTGTTAAGCCCTAGACCATAGATGTCATCAGCTCTGACAAGATGAGAGTTTTCTGCATTTGAATGAAGCAATAGAATGGGGTGCGTTTGAACAGATTTGCTGAAGCAAATCAATTGGGGAGCCTAGGCTAGGAGTTTTCTCTTACTTGGTGAGCTAGGCCCCATTCTACAGAAAATCTTTCAGAAGAGAAGCATAATTTGGTATTTTGGGCAAATGGTCACAGTGGCAAGGTTATGTGAGGAAGAGATGAGACTTGTTCTGGAAGTACCTTCTCACATACCTCTGGGTCTTTCCCTCATGACTTTGGCCTGAGAGGGGGACAGGGAAGGGGTGATGGTGGGAGAACCTCTGCTTTGGTCATTTGGAGATATACACCCTTTCTCCATGAGAAAGCTTAATTTATTCTTTTTTTTTTTTTGAGACGGAGTCTCGCTCTGCCGCCCAGGCTGGAGTGCAGTGGCCGGATCTCAGTTCACTGCAAGCTCCGACTCCCGGGTTCACGCCATTCTCCTGCCTCAGCCTCCCGAGTAGCTGAGATTACAGGCGCCCGCCACCTCGCCCGGCTAATTTTTTTTTGTATTTTTAGTAGAGACGGGGTTTCACCGTGTTAGCCAGGATGGCCTCGATCTCCTGACCTCGTGATCCGTCCTTCTCGGCCTCCCAAAGTGCTGGGATTACAGACTTGAGCTGCCGCGCGTGGCCGAGAAAGCTTAATTTATTCTAAGAAAATTATGTGACTTCTAAGGCACCAGTACTTTTGTTCTACTTTAGCATAGATGCACCATGCATTTCACTCACGCATGGCAGTAGCCTGCTGGAGTGATTTCATCTGCCTCTTCACCACCAAAAATTGGCAGATAGACAAACATGAACAAACCCAATAGAAGGCACCCTGGAATGACAAGTTGTTTTGGCAAAATAAGTGGTGAAGGGATAGAGAGGCTGTCAAATTGTGTATATTCAATTATTATTCTGTTTTTAAACATGTTTAGGGTTGCCAATTATTTTGTCATACACCTATTGCTGCAAGAAGTATCTTGGTTTATGTAATTATGTGTACTAATGTTTTTAATTATTTATTTTTGATTTTATAAAATTGTGGTGAAATACACATAAAATGCACTGTCTTCAATTACAATGTTATGCCACCATCACCACCATCTGCATTCCTCTTTTCACCTTGTAAAGCCAAAAAATTGTAAGCATTGAATAATAACGCCCCATTCTTCCAACTCTTTCCTCCTTGCCCCCACCCACTCCCTGGCAACCACTATTTCTCTTTCTGTCTCTATCATTTTGACCTCTCTAAAAATTTCACAGCATTTTTCCTGTGGTTTAAAAAAATAAAAAAGACAAAAAATCCCATAAATTTTACCACGTGTTAAAAAATGATTCTATGACCCTTTTAAAACGTGGCAAGGAAGACTTTATTCAGAGCCATTCTGATAGGTACAGGGATCACTGTATGTGAGTCTTACAATGGGGAAGAGAGATGGGGCTCTCTCCAAATTCAGCATGGGCAGTTGGAAATTGATAGCTGCCCTTAAGGAGTGGGGGGTGGGTACAGTGGATGGAGAATGACAAAGAGTAAACATCAGTAGTGAAGGGGAGGCAGACTGTTGGACCCTGTCACACCAGATGAATGAATCATGCTTGTCCCCAAAATAGGGCCCAGTTTATGAAGTAAAGTAGGTCCATCATGGCAATATGAGTTGTGCTTGTGTGTAATTCAGGAACCTAAGGAAAGCTCTGAGGCCCTAGACCATGCATGTGGTCTTGGGCCAAAAGCAATGTTAGCTTTCTATCTAGCTGTGGGGTCACTAAGACTAGGCTAAGAACTGTATGGCCACGTAAGCCAAAAAATACCCCCATCTCTCTTGTTCTTAGAAGCTCAGAGAGGTAGTGACCAAATAGGACTTGAAATAAAAGAACTACCACGTCCCATAGGCTTTTGGCTTTCTTATTTGACGTGAAACAGCCAGTCAATTCTCTCTTTGCTCTCCTAGGGCAGGAGGAGGATTTCTCTCAAATGGCAAAGGATGAAATGGCCTTCACATCTGAAGTCAAATAAACAGCTACATCTTTTACACGACTGAAAAAACAACACTCAGTGAGATCTCAGTGTTTTGAAGTCACTGATCTCAAGAAACGGTATAGCATAATTGGTCAGTCTAAAGTGTTTCACCCATACATGACACACAAGCAAAGATAAAATGACAAATAAATACATATACACACGCATAAATGCATATATTTTTGTGTATGAAGAAATAGGTACCATATATGAATATACACAACACATAAATGAATAAAATTAAAATAGAGTTATTTATATATACAGTGTTTTAGAGTGGTCTACCAGTTGGTGGTGGTATTTCTCCATACAAGAGAAATAAAAACATATTTTTTCATAAATATATATTTAAAAATAAACGTATATAATGACAGATATATACATAATAAACGTATATGTGTATATAAAATATATGTATAAAATACATATAGTGCAGAGAAATACACAGACACACTGAAATGCACACAGATGCACTTACATCTAAACTAGATGCCATAAGGTTGTCTCATCACCTATTGGCAATAAAAGAAGCCAGAAAGACACAGAAGTCCTTCCATGCAGGTTTCATGTGACCCTACACTAATGGCAAACACCAGGCCAGAGACAAACCAGATCCAGCCCAAGCAGCATCACCCAACAGTGGGAAAACTGTCCGCTTCTAGACAACCTCTTGATCAGGATAGGTGCCCTTCTTTGGAACATCTGAGGTGGGTGCATCCAATGGTGTCCAAGTATGACACTTCACTCTGTGAAGGAAAAGCTTTTCACAGAGAGTTGGAAAGGCTAGATCGAGAACTGAGGATGTGCTGGGATAAGATGATATCAGGCCAGAGCAACACCAGGCCAGGGTTGAACTGAAATGCGAGACACTGGGAGCTTTTCAGAACCAGGAAAATGGCCCCAGAAGCCAAAGGCTTGAGTAATTCTATTCTGGCTGTTCCCAGCTGATTCTAGAGAACCCTACAGGGCAGTACTAAAGAATCTCTGAATCAGAGACACCCGAAAAGCCAGGTGTCTGAGGCCGCCTCCACAAGTTTCCAAAGCAAGAAATACAGATGTCTGGCTTGACAAACACTTCTGGATGCCAAAGTAGCTGTTAGAAAAAGAAAACTAGGTTAGAGGCAGACTGTTGGGCCCTGCCACCCCAGGTGAATGAATGATGCCTGTGCTCAAACTAGAGTAGGTGAGATGAGTCCATCACGGCAGGTAAGAACTGCGCATGCACAAGCCAGAAAGCTACAGAGGGCCTGGAGTTTCTGAGCCAGGCATGCAGCCCTGGTTCAGAAGCGCTGGTCAGTGTCCGACCAACCTTTAGGTCATCAAGGGTATTCTGAGAAGTGTATGGCTATATAAGCCAAAAAACTTCTGCATCTTTTCTGTTCTTTTTTTTTTTTCAACAAACAAGTGTTTATTGAGCACCTACTATGTGCCAGGCACCATTCTAGACCCCCCAGAAGAGAAAAAGACAAAACACAAGATAGAAACAGCAAACACAAATTCTGAGGGAGAGGAAAGGAGCAGTTGAGTAAGACAACTAAGGGGAACTGAGAAGCCTAGGGTGATGGGGGGCCTCTGCCTTAGGCCTCTTCTTCAGCCTCCTTACTGAAATCCTCCTCCTCTTCTGTGGTAGCGTCCTGGTACTGCTGATACTCAGTGATGAGGTCGTTCATGTTGCTGTCAGCCTCAGTGAACTCCATCTCGTCCGTGCCCTCGCCTGTGTACCAGTGGAGGAAGGCCTTCTGGTGGAACATGGCAGTGAACTGCTCTGAGATGCGCTTGAAGAGCTCCTGGATGCCAGTGCTGTTACTGATGAAGGTGACAGCCATCTTGAGGCCATGAGGCGGCTGTCACAGACAGCTGTCTTGATGTTGTTGGGGATCCATTCCACAAAGTAGCTGCTGTTCTTGTTCTGCATGTTGAGCATCTGCTCATCGACCTCCTTCATGGACATCCGACCACGGGAGACAGCAGCCATGGTGAGGTGTCGGCCGTGGCGGGGGTCACAGGCAGCCATCATGTTTTTGGCATCGAAGACCTGCTGGGTGAGTTTGGGCACTGTGAGAGCTTGCTAGTACTGGCTCCCACGGCTGGTGAAAGGGGCAAAGGCAGGCATAAAGAAATCGAGACATGGGAAGGGAACCATATTGACTGCCAACTTGTGGAGGTCAGCACTGAGCTGGCCGGGGAAGTGGAGGCAGGCGGTGACACCTCTCATGGTGGCTGAGACGACGTAGTTCAGATCCCAGTCGGTTGGTGTGGTCAGCTTCAGAGTGTGGAAGCAGATATCCTAGAGGGCCTCGTTGTCAATGCAATAGGTCTCATCGGTGTTCTCTACCAACTGATGAATGGAGAATTGTAGGGCTCGACCGCAGTGTCATATACCTTGTAGGAAGGTACCACACTGAAGGTGTTCATGAAGCAGTCAGGATACTCTCCTTGGATCTTGCTGATAAGGAGAGTGCCGATTCCAGAGCCTGTGTCCCAGCCAAGTGAGTGAGTCAGCTGGAAGCCCTACAGGCAGTCACAGCTCTCCGCCTCCTTCCATACCACATCCAGGAACGAATAAACCTGTGTGTAGTGGCCTTTGGCCCAGTGGTTGCCTGCCCCAGACAGATCAAAAAGAAAGTTGTCTGGTCTAAAGATCTGGCCAAAATGACCTGCGTAAACAGGTTCTAGATCCCAGGTTCTAGATCCACCAGGATGGCACGAGGAACATATTTGCCACCTGTGGCTTCATTGTAGTACACGGAGATGCGGTCCAGCTGCAGGTCGCTGTCCCTGTGGTAGGTGCTGGTGGGTCGATGCCGTGTTCATCACTGATCACCTCCCAGAACTTGGCACCGATCTGGTTGCCACAGTGACTGGCTTGGATGTGCACAATTTCCCTCATGGTTAAAATTTAATTTTTTTGCTCGCCACAAGGTGTGTATGGAGCAAGAAAATATGTAATTTTTTTCTCTGCTAGTCGCAGGCTGAAAGGATGGAATGCGCCCCAGAGGCTGGAGCAGTGAGGTGTGAGCACCGTGGCAGGAAGGCTCTGAGAGCTTTTCTGTTCTTAAAATCTCAGAGAGACAGTGTCCAAATAGGACTTGAATGGAAGACTGCCTAATATTGCCAGGTTCCATAGACATTGGTTCCTTCGTTTGCCCTGAAACAGTCAGCCAACTTTCTCTGCTCCCTCCTATAGGAGAAGTGAACTTTTTCTAAATGCCAAGGGAAGAGATGGCCCTGACACGTGAAGTCCAATGTGTAGCCGCATCTTCCCACTTAGACCAGAAAAAGCCTCAGCAGGATCTCGGCGTTTTGGAATTGGTAGTCTCAGGAAACAATGTAGCACAATCGATCAGTCTGGAATGTTTAAGCATACAGGGCACAAGTAAAACCATAACTGGAAATTAATATATACATACACATAAATGCATACATTTTAAATGAAATAGGAAACATTTACAAATATATCATCAACATATAAATAAATAGAAATCAAAATACAAATATTTATACATACAACATTGTAGCACTGTCTGCCAGTTTGTGGTGGTGCCTTTGCATGCAAGCAAGAAAAAATTCATATAGATTATAAATAATAAAATATAGATCTTATATGTAATAACACAAAAATATACATTTATGCATACATAAATACATATTTGTATAAATATGCATATAATAAACATAATGCAAACACACACACAGATACACACACACACACACATTTGCGCTTATAGTTATACTAAAGGCCATAGGGCTAGCTTTTCACCTACTGGCAGGGAAGGGAACCAAAAAGGCAACAGTAATCTTTCCCTGCAATTTCTATGTGACCCTACACCTACAGCAAGCACTAAGCCAGAGAATTTTAATCAGAGCAGCCCGAATTCTGTCACCTTCCACTGGGAGAGTTGTTTACTTTCACAGATGTGTCGATCAGGGTAGGTGCTTTTCCTTAGAACACCTAAGGTAAGTGTATAAAATGATGTCCCTGTATATCTGGGTAGAGAAAGGTCTTTCTGCAAAGAGGAAGAAAGGCTAGATCTGAGCCTTCAGGATGCCCTGGGGTCAGTGTGAGTATTGGTGAGATAAGATGGTACTGGGCTGGAAAAACGGGTAGGCTAGGGTAGGACCAGCTCCTCCAATACCTTCCAATATGTCCCATGAGGTGAGACAAGGTAGTATCTCCTGTGAATGGTCCCAGAATAATAGGATAGCTAAACATTCACCTCCAATTTTTTTCTCCCTCTGAAAAAATAACATGGTTACTGGAAAACACTGTGTATATCACTGTGTAGTTTAGGGAGAGGAGCAACTTGGTCGAAGTGAAATCATTCCTCGTACATTTATGTGTGGCTCTTGGTCTGTAGTTCTAGAAGATGTCTCAGATTCACTCCCAAGTTCTGGGATATTTACAAAGGTATTCTAATCTGTGGAAAATTGTTAGTTGAATTTTTATGGAGGCAAGTAGAGTGAGATAGTTTCTATTCTAACAACTTGTTGACATCACCCTCTCTGGTAACAAATATCTTTAAAGAAGCATATTGAAACACATTATTACATACTATACAGCTTGGTAAACACTTAAATTTACTGAATACAGTAAAACAACACATCTTTTAAGTAGCATTCTTAGATTTATCTTTCAACATATAAACACCTCACTGCATACATTACATACGTTAGATCCACTCATTAAAAATAAAAGCTTTTTGCCATAGAATGTTTCTTACCCAAAATGCAATGGTAAGAAACATCTTTAAAAAAATATGCTTGGCTGGCCATGGTAGGGTGGCTCACACCTGTAACCCTAACACTTTGGGAGACCGAGGTGGGGCAGATCACCTCAGGTCAGAAATTTCAAACCAGCCTGGCCAACGTGGTGAAACCCCATCTCTATTAAAAATACAAAAATTAGCGGGGTGTAGTGGTGGTCACCTATAGTCCCATCTATAGAAGGCTGAGGCAGGAGAATTGCTTGAATCCAGGAGGCAGAGGCTGCAGCTAGCCATGATTGCACACTGCACTCCAGCCTGGGTGACAGAGTGAGACTCTGTCTCAAAAAAAAAAAAAAAAAAAAAGCTTAAACACTTTACACATATATGATAGCTTATTAAACACTTAAATTCCCTGAATTAATCCAGTTAACAACATATATTTTAAGTGACATTATCAGTTTTATCTTCTGAACATGTGCCTGCAAACCTAGTGAGTAGGTGTATGTAGTGAAATATTAGATGTACTCTCTAATATAACACTCTTCACAAGAAAGATTTTTAAATGCATAATTTTAAAAATCTATAAATAAGCATGTTTAAGGACTTCGTTACATACTTTATAATTTGGTAAACACTTGCATTTAATTAATACATTCATTGAATTAACACCATTATCAACTAATCAGTAACATTTTTAGAATCATCTTTTAAGCATATGCTTATAAACATTTTACAGTGAACCACATTCACTCACTGATGTAACAATTTTCAGAACAAAGCTTTTAAAATGCATGGAAAGAGGCCGGGCTCCGTGGCTCACACCTGTAATCCCAGCAGTTCAGGAGGCTGAGGTGGGAAGATCACCTGAGGTCACGAGTTCAAGACTAGCCTGGCCAATATGGTGAAACCCCGTCTCTACTAAAAGTACAAAGAAGATTAGCTGGGCCTGATGGCACCTACCTGTAGTCCCAGCTACTCAGGAGGCTGAGGCAGGAGAATCACTTGAACCTGGGGGGCAGAGGAAGTTGCAGTGAGCCAAGATTGCACCATTGCACTCCTGCCTGGGTGGCGGAATGAGACTCCATCTCAAAAAAAAAATATATATATATATATGTATATATATAAATAAAATAAAATGTGTGGTAAGAAAAATCTTTAAAGAACCATGTTTAAACACTTTATTACATACATTCCAGTTTGGTAATACTTGCTTGCATTCACTGAATTAACATAGTCACCAACTCATTTTATCAATGACATTCTTAGATCATCTTTTAGGCGTGTGTCTACTAACTATTCCCTGCATAGTATTACATCTACTCACTGAAATAACACTCTTCATTACAAAGCTCTTAAAATGAATAACAAAAGCATCTTTTAAAACATGTTTAAACATATTATTGCATGCTTTATCACGTGGTAAGCACTTACATTCAATGAGTTAACATAGTTACCAACTCATCTAATAAATAGCATTATTAGAATTATCTTTAATATAAGTGTCTACAACCTCACACTACATATCCCCTTACTAAAAGAACACTCTTCACAACAAAGATTTTAAGATGTATAGTAAGGAACTTCTTTAAAGAAACATATTTAAACATTTTATTATATATTTGCAATTGGGTAAACACTTGAAATCACTAAATTAATACATTTACAAATTCATTTTATCAACAACATCTTAGAAATATCATTTAAGGGCTGGGTGCGGTGACTCACGCTTGTAATCCCAGCACTTTGGGAGGCCGAGGCAGGTGGATCATGAGATCAGGAGATCGAGACCATCCTCGCTAACATGGTGAAACCCCGTCTCTACTAAAAAATACAAAAAAATTAGCCAGGCATGGTGGTGGGTGCCTGTAGTCCCAGCTACTTGGGAGGCTGAGGCAGGAGAATGGCATGAACCCGGGAGGTGGAGTTTGCAGTGAGCCGAGATCACGCCACTGCACTCCAGCCTGGGTGACAGAGCGAGACTCCATCTCAGTTAAAAAAAAAAAGAAATATATTTTAAGTATGTATCTACAAATACCTTACTACATGTTACTTATATAACAAACACCCTTCACAGTAAAGCTTTCAAAATTCATAAGGACAGTGACATCACCAAAAAGGCTGAGTAGAAGCAAGCTGGTTTCCACTTCCTGACTGACAGAAAACCTTAAACAAATTCAAAGCACCAAGATTATCATCAGCAATATCACAGAACTCAAATATGCAAATAAGATAGTTACTGAAGTAATGGAGAAGTGAAAAAATCCATGCAGATATAGAGGAGTAAGACTTTTATATTCCCGACATCCTAGCACACATCTGCCGGACACCAAGTGTGCAGAAAATCAGAGTAAGACTCCATCTCAAAAAAAAAAAAAAAAAAAAAAAAAAAGGTGAAGAAAAAGAAGATTCAGGAAGACAACCAGCTTTCCCGCCATCTGGGGATTCCAGACAGAAGACACCCACAAGAAGTATAGCCAGTGCCTTAAGGGAGGAAAAACTCCTGAGGACACCCAGAAACAAAGAGATTAGGTAACAGGTATCCCCAGCCTGGGAAATGTAGCTATTTAGCCAAAGGAGATGCCAAATCACAGTGGCTGTTCAGTGACACCATGCTGTAGGAGCTGTGTTTCATAGGTTCTTAGATCACAAATCCCTAGCTAGCCTTGCCAAGCTTCCCTGGTATTCCCTTTAGGACCTCCCTCATCTGGCACAAGAGGTGCCCTGAATGGTTGCTAGAGCTGAGGCAAACCTGGGATTAAGGTGCCATCTAGTGCCAAAAAGGAGGTAGTGACATAGCATAAAGGATATTCAAGGTAAATTGCAAACAATCTCTAACAAACACACCCAATACAAAATAAAACAAGCCAGATAGAGAAGATTTGAATGCATAACTAATCCTTTAATGCAGACACATGGATGTACATTCATAAGAGAAAACAGCAGACAAAAAAATCATAATCTTCCCGAGTGGACAAAGCAAGAAGCCACTGGCCAACACTAACTAAACAGTGATAGTTAGGCTCTCTGGTCAAGAATCCAAAATATTATATATATATTTTTTTGAGATGGAGTCTTGCTCTTGTCACCCAGGCTAGAGTGCAATAGCATGATCTCGGCTCACTGCAACCTCTGCCTCCTGAGTTCAAGTGATTCTCCTCCCTCAGCCTCCCGAGTACCTGGGATT